CCCGCCCGGAGCATCAGGGCAACAGGATCACGGACACCTTGGGCCCCTTAAACCTGGGGAACGGAATAGGAACTAAAGAACAAAGCACTGGGACCCAGATACCAAGACAGTTGAATGTCTGTCGTAGAAAGTGCCTGCTTGCAAGATTCCGCCCTCATCATTTGGATGAGGAAACTGAGGCCCAGACACAGAAAGTTTCTCTGACTCTGGGTCCAGGGCTCTTGCTATAAGCTGATCAATGTTTGGGGAAGATGGAAGATAATATTTAAACAGTTTTCTTTTTCAAAGACATATTTTCTCTCCCTGCTCCCATCGATTTTCCTTCTGAGGCACATAAACTACCTTAAGTTTTCGGTGCTTCCTGGGGCCCTGGGGCCTGCGGTTTATGCCCAGGAGAGCTCCACCCCAGTGTTCCCTTTTTTGGCTTCTGACTTTGTAAAGCAGGGGTTTTCCAGCATATCACTACTGACGTTCTGGGCCATTCTTTGTTGTGGAAGCCCGTCCTGTACATTGTAAGATGTTCAGCAACATCCCTGGCCTCTAGTCACTAGATACTAGTAATGCCCCATGACACGTGACACCCAAAAGTGCTTCTAGACACTGCCACAGGTCCCCTGGAGAGGAAACCCACTCCAGGTTGAGAAGCACTGTTTTATAAGGCCTTCTCTCTGCAGTGAACGCAACAGAGGTGTGCACGTGAGCCGTCTGAGCGCCCTTCCCATGCATGACCCGGCTGAAGTCGGGGAGAACCTAGGAATCCTGTGAGCTCAGCCACCTCTGGCTCAGTGCCACACTTGTCCCCTCTGAATAAACACTAAGCTCCACCTGTCGGTGGTGCCTTCAGCAGGAGCTAGCGTCACTTTTAGCTACAGAACAACTTTTTACTTGCCTCGTTTTCCTTTAGTTGGCTAACTCTTAACTGGCAACACAGCTGTTAGCATCTCTTCAAGAAGCCGCCTCTGGGCTCCACCCTGGGCTCAGGGCTCCTGCCTCTGGCTCCTTCCCTTAGCCACTCAGCTTCTCCCACAAGACCGGTGGCCATGGTGCAGGGACTGCACTTCAGTCATACGCATTCGTGGGACAGTTTACAGAACGCGCTCCAGATAGATCTAGTATCAGGGACTTCCAGCTGCCTTAGGACGTGAGCCACGAAAACCCCAGAGAACCCAGTGGGCGCATGAGGAAAGGCCTGGGCTCACTGAAATCCACCATTGCAATGAAACCACATACCGTCAGGGCCTGGACTGCCTCCCATTCCTGTGGAGACTGGATCTTATGGGCCAGCAGTCGGACAGCGATCTGTGGCCTGGGAGACAAGCAGACCCTGCATTCAGGCACTGACCCTGGGACCACGTGACTGGCCCTCCTTGGCCAGTTTTTACTTCTACAGTCAGCTCTCTCCCACTTGCCTCCCAACGGCTTTGAGACTCACCCTTCAAGCTCTTTGTTGATCTGATCACAGAAGCCAATTATGTATTCCCAGTCCTCCTGGCGGTTGGAAGGATTGGTGGCTTTATCTTGGGACAGAGCAAAGCGGAGGACAATTGAGGACACAATGGAAAGTGTTCCAACAATTTTTAGGCATTGATGTGAAGCTAAGTTTGTTTCCACATTTCTTTTCTGATAAGAAAATCCTCAACAGGTCAGTCCAGTATTTTGAAAGTCACAGATGAAAGGGAAAACAAATTCTCAGCCTTGCAAAGCTTAGAGTTGACCACGGTCGATAGTACAGATGAATAATTATAAACACAAATGACAAAAATCTTCAAACTGATATCCGCAAAAATGTTTAATGTAACAAATAAGTATAAATAATTCTAGTTACATAAAAATAAGCTATTAAGCAAGTAGGAGTTATCAAGAAGTGTTTCCTGGAGAAATTAAAGTCAGGTGATACTTGATAAAAATATATATATATATACTTAGGAAATGTATTTCCTATGTACCCTTCAAACATTTTTTCAAGACCCAACTTTCCTTAACGCTTTAAATGTTTTTTAAATTGTACACAATGTCATCCTTTAAAAAAA